GGAAATTACTTTCGTTACATACTCCAGATGTAATAGACATATAAAATATTAAGAATATATATAAATATATATACTTTGAGCTTAATGCTAACGTCAACATGCTAACATGCTCACAATGACAATGCTAACATGTTGATATTCAGAAGATATAATGTTAACCATGTTCACCATCTTAGTTTAGCATGGTGGCAAGCTAACATTTGCTCATTAGCACTAAACAGAAAGTACAGTGAGGCTGATGAGAATGTCTATCCAATAAAGTATTGGACAAATTTTCACCTGATGATGGTGCAAGATGAAAAGTCAGGGGCTGACCAAAGTTATTACCATCTGCTAAGACATTTCACTCAAGACCACAAATGTTATCCTCATGGTGGCGCTATAGGAAATGTCGGGGGATCAAAGTCTGTATGATTCATCCTCTGGACACCAGACATATATGTACCAAATATCACGACAATCCACTTAATCGTGGAAAAAAGATATTATTGGAAAATTAGAAAAAGGAGAATATTATATCATATTATATTGCATGTTTTTTAACTCAAACACAATCATCACATTAGATTAATTTCTGTGCTTATTTAATAATAATGGGCAGAACTACTAACAAAACAAATGTGGACAGACAAGGCAACTGTAAACTGACATAAATACACTTAAAATCATTGCATAACAATGACTTTACAAACAATAAGCAAACATACTGTAAAACTATGAGAATAATATTAGAAAGTATGCTGTATTAAAGTAAAAATATTAAACAATATTACACCCAAAATATGATAGCACTCTACAGTCTCACCCAGAAGCTGTTCACAGCATTATAAAAGTCATTTAAGCAGTGGGGTTCTAAATGTCGACTCTTTCACTTTGTCAGCAGGTCTAGCAGTTTCTGTTTTTGTCTGCATCTCACAGACTTTGTGCGTCATCAGTCCATTCCCATTCAGTCAATGTCAGCGGACATCTTCTCCTTTAAAGAGGACATCTACGTGGCTATGTCTGCCCCCAACTCCAACAGCTGTGTGGTCATGGAGTGGGACCACATTGAGATGAATTTCAGGAAATTTGACAATATAACAGGTTTGACAACACAAACACCCAAATACTTTTTTTTAAAACGGATATGCCTGGGGATTTCTTCTGTATTTTTTTATATTAGAAAATCTCACGAAAAGACCAAAGCCAACAATGAATTGATCCTACAAAGAAGTTTTGTATGCATAGCCAATGCCTTACACAACTTGTTCCCTTTCATTCTAGACACAGAAAAACACATTTTGCTTCATTACATTGAACATGGCACTGTAGTTGTTTTGTGCTGTAAATACCGTAGAGAGCACCAAATGTGTATTAATCCGCTGCTGAAAATAGTCCCCAACACCTTTGCGATTTACCCCTGTTCGAGAAAGATATATACCTTATTTTTATTATATTATATTTACCTTTTTAAAAAGTCAACATATATTTTCAAGACCTTAATGGTCTGTTGGTTTTGTTCTTTTCACAAAAACAAAATTTAAGAATCTCATCTTTATCTTTTCAGGTTAATTCAAGAGAACTCTTTGTTTTATACTCAGTTTATTATTAAATGTCATTTTCTGTGTTGCATTACCACTAACAACTTTTTTATCCTCACAGGGAAGTCTGTTGTTGGATGCAAGTCAGTTCTGATTGACAACCATGTCTTGATAATTGTTACCCAGCTCTTTGGTGGCTCCCATATTTACAAGTTTGACGATCAGCAAAACAAGTTCACAAAGTTTCAAACTATTGAGGTCTTCAACATCTCGAAGCCAAATGACATTGAGGTCTTCCAAATGGATGGTGATTGGTATTTTGTGATTGTGGACAGCTCCAAGGCAGGTTTGTCTACTCTGTACAAGTGGACCGACCAACCAGACCGCAATGAAACAGGTTTCTACTCCTACCAGTTCCTCCACGAGTGGTTTCGTGACACAGATGCTGAGTTTGTTGAGGTGGACGGGAAGTCCTTCCTCATCTTGGCCAGTCGCTCTCAGGCACCTGTCATCTACCTGTGGAACAAGAGCACCCTGAAGTTCATACTTCACGGTGAAGTCCCACATGTCGACGACGTGGTGGCAGTCAAAGCTTTCCGGCTGGAGAATGAGTTGTATCTGGCCATGACTTGTTACATTGGTGACTCCAAACTCCTCAAGTGGGCCAATAAGCAGTTCACTGAAGTGCAGGCTCTGCCTTCTCGAGGAGCAATGATCCTCCAACCTTTCACCTTCACAGACAGGCACTACCTTGCTCTTGGCAGTGATTATTCTTTCACACAAATCTACCTCTGGGATGTGGAGACCAAAACATTTCACAAGTTCAAGGATATTTATGTGCAGTCCCCCCGGTCAATTACAGCAGTGACCACTGACCGCAGGAATTTCATCTTCTCCTCCAGCTTTAAGGGCAAATCGATGGTTTTTGAGCATATTATTGTAGATTTAAGCTTATAATGCCTCGCAAAATAATGACTAATCACAGTATGAGTTGGTCACTCAGATCAATATTGCGTGTATGCTACAAAGTCTCAATTGCTGTATATCTTCCTTATAAAACTAGATATATCTTTATTGGTCTGACACAAACATCTTTGGCAAGTTTCTGCAGCTCATATGCATTTCAAGCAGTTATGGAGGTACGATTAATGATAGGTCCCAAGTAGTTAACTTGAAACTGAAGGCTGACAGAAATATAAAACAATGGCAACCTTTAAAATTTAAACAGCATGAAGATAATTTTATCGCATATTAGATATATATAATTCTGTCAAACAAGGAATAGCCAAACCAAGGGGTGTCTATTCTGGCCATGCCATAGAATATAGCCTGGCCACCCCACACAGGCAGTGATAAATGTATCCGTTAAGGGTTATATAAAATGTAAATACCATTATATATGATTCCTAATGATGCATCTATAGAGTTGATGTCACTGTTGCCTCAATGAGTGAAAGAAAAAGGTAGAAATTTGTAATAAACAATGAACAAAACTGAATTGAACTACCATTTCTATGCCACCTCGAAGTGAACACACGAGGTGTCAGTATGTTCCAACACAAACTACATTTTACTACGTGTTGTCTGAGTCTGAAGGCAAATTATAGCTCTTAAATGCAGGGTAAAAAGCTTGCTGTCATAGAGAAGGGCAAGATGTGATAATCGTTTTAATATAGGGACGCTTGTGCAAACTTTCAGACGTCTCTCCAGGAAGGTATTCATGGTGTTCACATTCATGGCGCTTAGTTGTACATGTGACAAAAGTAATTGTGTGAAAATTTAAAAAGAGAGCTCAAACCCTTCTTACTTCCTCACACCTCGCCAAATTGCTTGTGGAGTGGGTATACTAGTTGGATTGTGGGTTTTGGAAAGTTGCTGTTAGCTGTTAGAAGGGTGTGTGTTGTTGTGGGAGTGGGATTTAGATAATCAGCCTGGCTATCTGTGTGAAAACTGTTTGGCTCCACCACTCCAAGCTCCAAGCTAAATGTCAAAAGTTACCATAAAATGCTCTAAACTCTGGTACTTTGTATTTCTGAGCAGCCAGTAGACATTTTAAAGCCATCTCATCCAGTAACTGTCATGACTAAACATTTAAATGTGCATGAAACAAAGGGGTTTCTTCTTTTCACCCAAATAATACAGCAGAATGTATTAACAAAAGCTTAAGCCTAACTGCACAACATTTATAACTAACTACTAACAGAGTGCCTGATTGGTGTCAAAACAACATAATTTAGTCCTGATTCCTATGCAAAATGTAAAATACTGAATGTTTTTCTGAATTACAATCACAAGGTTAATTGTGTGCTGTTGCTATATGACTTGAAACAACATTTACATGGTCTTAAGACACAAATGTGTGCTCATTTCTTTACTGATCTTTTGATATGTTTCATGTATTGTACAGATTTAATTACAGTCCGTTTGGCTTGGAATATAAATCTTTTTCAGATACCTAACAATGGCATGATGTGCAAACTAGGCCTAATGTCAAACAGCTGAAAGTCACAAAATGCTAACAAGATCAAGCAAAAGCAGTATGTTTTTGTGAACATTTCTTGAAAATAAAATACATTATTTCCCTTCAATCTATCCTCATGTTCTACCTAGCACTTATATATTTTCCACTCTAGTAGCCTCAACTAATAAATAAAAACAGATCTTTTACACAACATCGACAACCTTCAGTCTTATGTAAGAATGAGTTTGTGTAAATGCATTAAAGAACATTTAACCACATGTACTGTCTCCGTGTGTTTTGCTCGCTCTGTCCTCCGTTCTTGGCAGATGCACAGACGGTGAAATGTGTCCACAAAGCAAAGACAAAGTGCCTCAGACAGCATGTTTAAGAATTGATAGTGCTGTCAGCAACTGGTGTCTGAGACAGCATTTTAGTTCAGCTGCAACTGCAGACATAATTATATGGTTCATTTTAAGTTGTTACAAATAGAGAAATTTGTTTTAATAGTCTGTTGCAGTTTTCCCACGTATTTGTTATTTAGTCAGTCAGAGAAGATGTGGGCACTTTTAAGACAGACTCAGCCACCAGATGATAATAACAGATGATGATGACACTGTGAGTGTCATCATCATCTGTTATTATTGTCATTCACTGTAGAGGTATGATATGACTGACGACCATGAAAGCCTCTTGAGATAAACTCTTCTGCCTCAAATCTGTACAAAGCACTGCTGCCAAGAACTCGACATATATTTTCTGTCCAGTCTGTTGATTAAACTTCAATCAACTACAGAGGTAAAATGCAACAGTGCACCAGGGATATTAATGCAGCTGTGTACATTTACTTTTGATTACATTTCAGTGAGGTTTTGAATGGAGGGCTTTTAGTGTTCTTGTAGTGTGGTATTTTCACAGTGTGGTATTGCTACTTTTACGTAAAGGATCTGAATTAATTAATTCACCACTGATCATACATTGTTTTATTCTGGTCTTTTTTAAAATAATAATAAAGGTCATTTTGACAGTAAATATTACACATTTTAGCCTAAAATGTTATTTATTGACCTTGGAAACAGCAGGTAAGTAGGTAAAATTGTATATTTTTTCTATATTTATTCATATAATTACTAACTCGATATTAAACTTTGTGATTTCCTATATAATTTTGAAGAATTTAGGCCTCCATACAGAGTTCCCAGTTTAACGAGGGTTTCCAAATGCGTCGTGACGCTCCTCTGACGTCGGGGACCGACGGAAGTGATGCAAATCGTGTTCCTCGAGCAGCTAATCCGTCTTGATGATGCCAAATGTCTGTAAATCTGATCACTGGGACCAACATGGTGATGCTTATTTGAAACTCACCTTTTATTAACCTTTAGTTTTTTTTTTCGCACGGGCCGAGATGGATCCGTCCAGGAGGAGCGAGAGCGACTGGCAGGGGCTGCTCAACGAGGTGAGACTGGAAAGAACCTGAGAGAGGACACAATATAGTCTCTAACCTCCACTGAGGTTGTGCACCCAACTATTACATTAGCGCTAAATGTGTGTGTGTTTCTGTGCGTTACCGACCCTGTGTGGAGCGCGTAGGAATAAAGCTGGAACCTGCTTTCATGGTTTCTCTCAGCATTTAGGGAATGCACACAAGGAAGTAGGTTTTTTCCTCTCTGTTTTTTTCCTTGTGTCTGCAGAGTGTGAAACAATATGCCCGGCGCTGCAGGTGTATTGGCTTTCCACCGGTTGTTATACTGTCAGTGGTCTTATTGCTGATGATCTGTCGCAATCAATACATTTGATGGCAGCTCATGAGGAGTTTATGATGACCACTCGTGTCCACGTTTTACACAGATTCAGTAGTAAATGTGAATGTTATTAGCTATTAGTATTCAAACAGCAATAAGTTACACACAGAATAAAAAATATTACTGAGTGTAACAATTAACATTCACGGGTGGGTTTAGACGTACTGAAATCTGTTGTTAAAACGTGGACAGAGTGGTCATCATAGAACTCCTCATGAGCTGCCATCAAATGTATTGTATTGCGACAGATCATCAGCAATAAGACCATGCTGGACTGAGTATATAGCAACCGGTGTGAAGGCCAATGACACCTGCAGCGCCGGGCATATTGTTTTCAACACTCTGCAGACCACAAGGAAGAAAAAACAGGAGGAGGAAAAAACCGGTACTTCTTGTGTGCATTTCCCTAAAGTGCTGAGAGAAACCATGAAAGCAGGTTCCAGCTTATCCTTTTACGCGCTACCCACACAGGGGTCGGTAACGCACAGAAACACACCACACATGTTTAAGCGCTAATGTGAATAGTTGTGGTGCACAACCTCAGTGGGGTTAGAGACGTTTATAGTTGTGTCCTCTCTCAGGTTAGGGGAGGACGGGGTTATATTGTGTCCCTCTCAGGTTTAGAGACTATATTGGGTGTCCTCTCTCAGTTAGGACGTTTATTATTGTGTCCTTCTGCTCAGTGTTAGAGACTATATTTGTGTCCGTTCTCAGGGTTAGAGGGACGTGAGTATTGTGTCCTCTCTCAGGTTAGAGACTATATTGTGTTCCTGTCTCTCAGGTTCGTTTCGAGTCTCACCTCGTTGAGCAGCCGCCTGCCAGTCGCTCTCGCTCCTCCTTGACGGATGCCATCTCGCCCGTGCGAATAAAAAAAACAAAGGTTAATAAAGAGGTGATGGTTCAGAATAAGCATCACCATTGTTGGTCCCAGGTGATTCAGATTTACAGACAGTTGCAGTCGAGATCAAAGACGGATTAGCTGCTCGAGGAACACGATTTGCATCACTTCCGTCGGTCCCATCTCTTTTC